TGCAAACACATTCATCCCATTGTTCATTGTTAACCCAGATCATTGCTGAAGAAATTAAATGTCATCAATTTGTTTTTATGCCATCTAGTCCTTTTTTACTCTTAGCAAACAGATAGATTTTCTCCATGATGATCTATCAACTGTTTTAGATAATAATATAGATATAAAATGCTTAGACAATATGTAACCACTATTGTTTTTAATTTGCCAGTTCATTGTGGCTATTTTTCTCTGGTTTTACTTTGAATTTTCTCTTTTATAGTGATCTTTATTATGTCAGAAAATTTAACATCAGCACATAGGCATTTTTTATTTGTTTTTAAATTCTACCATATCCATATTCTGTTTAGGGATTTATTTATTTACATATAAGTCAGTGCTTTGTAACAGCCATATTGGATTATCCTTTTCTGTTTCCTTCAAATGCCATCAGAAGGGCCAGCAATTGCCAGAAGAGGCAGCTAACAAATGGCGAAAAAGAGTTAAGAGAGTCATGGCTGGGATGAAATTGGTACATTTCATTACCATTTGTGGAAACTTTCTGAATCTGAATATCTATAAAACACAATTTTCTTTTATTTATTTTGTAATATTCACATAATATGGCTTCTCCCTTCTCCTGTCTTTATCACTCTTGTTAAGATGGGTTTTTGCCTTTGTTTGGAATGACACTGCATGGTTGATCTTTCATACAGTGGATGTGCAGCTTTTACAACACTGCACATGCCTTATGCTTGATGGGGTTTCCTGGCTTCCTTTTTTTTTTTTTGGAAGAGAGAGAGAGAGAATGAGAATGAGAGAAAGAAAAAACATGCATGTGATGCGCATGTAACCTTAAGTGCTTATTTTTCTTATAGGAGCCTTATGGAGTTGTATATGATCATTTCATAATCCTTAATCTTACATATAAAGTAGTCCTAAAGACGGTGTATAAAACTAAATCGATCACTCAGTAAACCGTGAATATATTTATTTTGCAAATATAGATAGCCACCCATCCCATAAAAAAGGATTTGGGTGGCATGGAAATATAATAAAAATTAAAAACCATTATGAACAAACAGAATACTACTACTATACTCAGAAATTATTCCTACGCATATACAACCATTCGGCTTTCAATTCTTTGTCCTCTTCTCACTTTCATAAATTTAAGTTTACAATAGGATAATGGGATGAAGAATAGAATCAACAGGGTGCCCCTATTCCCTCCTTTATAACCCCTTAAAAGTACAGAAGAGATCAGAAAAAACTATGTGGCAGACAAATCCAGTTTAGAAAGCATGAAACCCACCATACTATTACTTCAAGTTTCATATCATTGGCATCTTTTCTTCTTTGCGACTTTGCAAAAACAATTCCATATGTGCATACCCGTCATCATATTTTATGTGGTTGCAGTCCATGTAGGTTGGCCCATATGTCTTTTGAAAAATACATAATACAATATGTGCCACTTTTCATGCTTGCCAGACTCGGGTGACCCGAAACTTTACTATCCTTGAGAGAACAGCTACTCTGTGTTCACATGGGAAAAGCAGAGGGGATGCTGCTAATCATTTACTTGCTTTCACTGTCATTCTATCATTCCTGTAAGTGTTGACTTGGATATAAATTAAGCTTTCAGGAAATATTCTAATAATACTTTATTCTAAATGGAAAATTGCATTACATTTTTGAAAAACAATCTAAACAATGTCTGAAGGAAAACTGGACCAGTTTCCAAAATTAGTTTGGGCTAAATATGTTTTGACAGCCCTTCCAGAGAACTGTTTTGAAGAAGCTGCTTGGCCTTAGAACTGCATCTGTCCCACATTTTTTTAAAAAGCAACTTATGTGTTAGCAAATGTTCCCCTATCCTTTTTCCCTCTACTTGCTCTTGCATTTCCCCTCTACATGAAAGAGCTAGGAAAACTCCATAATCGATGATGGGTCTGCAAAATGAAAAAGAACAAATAAGAATCCCATTGCCCAAATTAGTACTACATATAGACTCATATAGCCTCATCCACAAATTTGTTCTGTTTGAAGTAGTTTGCAGACTGCCTGACCTAGCTGTAGCTTGATGAAAGCCTGTCAATTGATTGACACTCTTGTGATGTTTACACTTTTTAGAATATTTACTTCTGTTTATGTGTCTTTGCACTTTAATTGTGGTCTTGCCTATTTAAATTTGGATAACAAGCAAGAATAAAAAAGGCAACTTATTTAATTGCTATAATGAATTGCTTTGTGTTATGTCTTCTTTTGTGTGCTAGACTGAAAAAGAAAAACTGACATGGAAAGATCGGTTCCCAGCATACTTCACAAATTTTGTGAGCATTATTTTCATGGTAAGCATTATCTTGGAAACATTATTTTCCTGAGCTAGTTGTCTTCTCAACAATAGGGAAACCTTTCTTAAAGGAGGGAACAAACCTTTCCTTTATCTAGCCAGCTTTTGGATTATATTTAACCTTTCCTAATTCTCCCCACTTTCCCATCTTCTGCATTGGAAGTGCAAATTTCATAATTTCCAATACATTTGCATGGTGCCAGTTTAGGGAAGGTTCCATTAAATAATGCAAAAATTAATGAACACATTTAAAAAGTTTTAGCTCTATAATGAACAATAATAAAGCTTGCAATGTTCTGCTTGTATTTCTTTATCAGATATCTGTGCCCCTATAACTATGCTATTTGTACATCATATTTTGCCAAACCTAATCTCTGAAGAGGAGTTTAGCATCCACAAAAATGTTATTACATTATTGAAATTTCACAAGAATTTAAAACTAATTAAGGGGAGCAACGTAAGACATTATATTGCTTTGTTGAATTGACATTACCTTGAAAACAGTTCCTGGGAAAATCATAAGTCAGATCATGAAATGGGTTTGCAAGGTTATGTAAGATTTTAAAAATTATACTACTTTTAAAAAAAAAACCAAAATGACTATAGATTAGTAGACCAAGAGAATGTTGTGGATGTGGTGTACCCAGACTTAATGAGGCATTTGATAAAATTAGCCATAACCTTCTTCCTCATAAAATGGAATGATGTGGGATGGATGGTGCCATCACTATATGGATTTGCAGTTGGTTTCGCAACTGTGCCCAGTGCATGGTCTCTGTTCATTTTTAGAAATGAGTTCAATAAAGGAAAAGAAGAGATGCCCAGCAAATTTGCGATGACACAAATGGGAGGATTGCTAACCCCTCAGATGACAAGCTGAACAGATAGGCTCAAGACTTAAACATTAGGCTTTTTACAACAAATATAGTTCCATGTCAAGAAACATAGGATTCTGCATTTAGGTAGGGGGAGGGAGATTTTGCATGTACAAGATAGGTTCAACAGTAGGAGTTGGCAGAAAGAGCTAAGTGTCTTGGTAGAGCACAGATTGATCATCAGTCAGCAGCATGCTGCAGCTACCAAAAAAGCTAATGTAATATTGGGCGCATCAACAAAAGTATAATGTGAAGATTACAAGAAGTGACAGTTCCACTTCATACAGCATTGGTATAGCACATATAGAATACTTCATTCAGTTTTAATCATCACAATGCAAGAAGGATACTGAGGAGCTGGAAAAAGTGTAGTGAATAGCAAACAAATTTGGTGAGGATTACAGTCTATAGACATGTAGATATTATTTACTCTAAAGAACAGAAAGCTAAAGGGTACTTGATAGCCTTCCAATATTTCCAGTTGGAGGAAATATTGTAACAGAAGGACTGTCACAGAAAGATGGTGTGGTTCTAAGAACCAATAGGTGGAAGCATAATCATGGAACCTCTATCACTAAATATTCTCAAATAAAAATTAGCAACCACCTGGCTGGGATGGTCTGAAAGTGAAGATTCCTGCTTAGGTAGAAAATTGAACTAGGAAGCCTCCAAGTTTTCTTCCAACTCTATAAGTCTAAGAATATAATTTCAGGGTTTTTATTAAATAGATAACAACGAATGAAACCAAAGCAGAATTCATAAGCAGAATCATTATGTTATGGTGTTTTCTTTATTATTCCAACTATATTGTATTTAACTTCATAGCTGATATTTTTCTTTAGTAGTATAATACTATAGAAATGTTTAGTTTATCCATGTGTATTATAACCATTTCTCTGTGTAAACCATATGGGAGCATGCAGTTTTTATAATATAATTGGCACAAGTAATTGAAACATTTCCATACAAACTACATCAGGTCATAGTAATATTGTAAACCTAATCTTTTGATAACTGGTTATATCCTTTTCAGATTGGACTGACATTTGCTATTGTTTTTGGGGTTATTATATACCGAATCTCCACTGCAGCAGCTTTAGCCATCAGCTCCTCTCCAGGAGGCAGGTCGAATGTTAGAGTGACGGTCACAGCCACTGCAGTAATTATTAATCTGGTGGTGATAATAATCTTGGATGAAGTATATGGCTGCATAGCTAGATGGTTGACTCAGATTGGTAGGTACATATTCTCCCACGATTTGACTTTGAATTATGATTTCATTAAACAATCTGTCTAACGATTCAGCTTTGACTTTGCAAGCAAAATTACATAGGAACAAACCCTGAGATAATAACTTAAAAGGATTCTTGGCATTAAGGCAGTCTCATCTTTCAGTAACTAATATTCTGTTTAATTTTAAGTGTGGACATTATTTAAATTCATTTAGAGTCTTATCACCTTGGTGAACCAGACAAATTGTCTTTAAAACAAGACAAATAACACGATTTATCTTCCTTTCCAGTCACTACTTACTTTAAGAATATAAATCAAGAAGTAAAAAATAGAGGGGTCCAGACTTTCTTTGAACGAAGAAATATGCATTTCTTTATTGAAGGGGGAGGGATCTGAAATACTTTTCTAGTAATCTTGTAATCAAGCCAGATTGACATTATACATACCATATTGTAGGGATAACTGTAGTGTATCAGCTCTGACCACATTATTCTAGGTAATTGCCAAGTGTAATCAATTTTCTAGTTCCACCTTTTTCGATGAAGACAAGACTCTATATTCATTGCCACAAATATCAACCTGTACAGTAGTTATTGACTTGCAATTATTTGTTTAGTGACTGTTTGAAGTTACAATGGCACTGAAAAAAGTGGCTTATGATCATTTTTTACACTTATGATCGTTGCAACATCCCTATGATCACATGATCAAAATTCAGACCCTTAGCAACTGGCATTTATTCATGACAGTTGCAATGTCTCAGGGTCATGTGATCACCTATTGCAACCTTCTGACAGGCAAAGTCAACGGGGAGGCCAGATTCACTTAACAATTGTGTTACTAACTTAACAACTGCAGCAATTCATTTAGCAATTCTGGCTTTTCATGTGTTTGCCTGAAATGGGACAAAATTCACTTAAATTTGGGGCTCAATTGTGGTCCTAAGTCAAGGACTATCTGTATAATATTTAGTACTTTACATTAATCTTCCAGTCACTTTTGCATTAATTTCATTTACCTCAGAGGTTCCAAAAACAGACAAAAGTTTTGAAGAACGACTTATCTTCAAGGCCTTCCTTCTGAAATTTGTGAATGCTTACACACCCATTTTCTACGTTGCTTTCTTCAAGGGCCGGTAAGTTGCATAGATTAATTAATTGCTTCACTAGTATTTTATGCTGTTATAGGGCTCTTATTCAAACAAGGACAGCCCTTTAGAGGGATTGTCACTTGAGTTTTCTAGGCTACACCTACCTCCAAGTATTAAGATCATAAAAATTAACTGAATTAATTATACTAGCATGATAATTTCCCAATGTGTAATGTTAGTTATGTTTCTGTAAGGAGCACTTTTTCTGGGCACAACAGAAGCCTGGTTGGCTTATCAGTGTACATTAAGAAGGGATATTGCTAAATACTGAGGCAAAATACACTTTCATCAGTTAAAATGTGAGTGTTTACTCAGCAGATGTTCATGCTGTTTTAATTTGTTACAGGTAGAAGCATTTACAGAAATAAATGGCAGTCAGCAGCTTTACTATTTAGAATCATCACGTTGAGGAATATTATTGAAAATTACCACAATGGAAAGTTTCCACAAACGAAGAAAGTTGGGGAAAGCAGTTTTACTGATATATTCCCTTGTTCTATCTTGAAATTCCGAGAGCTGTTAGGTCAGCTACTAAACCAGTGTCCAAAGCTATAATCAGATACTGGAAATGGCAAATTCAGGCTTTTTGAACTCCATTCATTGACAAAAAGGAGTTCAACCAATAAATGAATTAATTGGATTTTCCTCATCATATCCACAAGATATTTAATATTATTTCTTTTAATCATATTTAACATTAATAAACCCAGCTCAAAGGCAAATTACTTCTTTGGGAAAATGTCACTGATAATGTTTATGTTGATAAAAGTAAATATATTCCTGGTAGCTAGATTTGCTTTTCTCTATTTTTTTTTCTCTGAAACTAAATTAATCATCCATTGTACAATGTGTATCTGTGTAGAATGATTTTAGAGGCACGTAAAATATTGCAGGAAGTGTCTGAAAGTTTATGTCTGTAACAGAAATTCTAACCATTGTTTCCAAATTGTCTAGATTTGTTGGACGCCCAGGAGATTATGTCTACATTTTTCATTCTCTTCGAATGGAAGAGGTAACTGTACCTTATTTGTTCATGTGTCTAGAAAACAGCTATGAACATTCTGTTGGGGTATACAAATGTCCCTAGTTTTTTTATTTTGTTTTTCCCTTTTTTTAGTGTGCTCCTGGTGGTTGCCTGATGGAATTGTGTATACAACTTAGCATTATAATGTTGGGCAAACAACTGATTCAGAATAATCTTTTTGAAATTGGCATCCCGTAAGTACTAAGAAATAAGAAAATATTAGCTATATTCTCAAAATGCTTGCACATCATCTCTTGATAAATATAAATATATATATACATACATACATACACACACACACACATACATACATACTAACAAAACAAATAATATAATAACAAAATAAATGCACACTATTTTAAACTTTGGTGTATCCTCAGTCTAACATTTTCTTGCACTGCATATGTATATTATTTGACATTCATGCAGTGCAAGAAAATGTTAGACTGAGGATACACCAAAGTTTAAAATAGTGTGCAT